TGTTAGTTAAGTTTGATTTATTGTTTTATTTTAGTGGTTGCCGTATCACAAATTCGTTATACAGGTTTTGTGCAGGTAACAATGGTTCACATTGCCTGTCTCGGTTTCATATTTTCCGAGCCGATGCTATTTTATCACATAATCGGTCTGTTATCCAGTGAAATCGCCCGTGTAATATTCATTCATATGTCACTAGTGTAATATACCCTGGAGCGTTTTTTTCATTGGCTGTGCCAGTTAGAAAATTGGCTGTCCCAGTTAGAAATCGATTGTGACGTCATGATATGGACAATGACGTGACATCATAAATTGTAAGTGGCGCAACAAAATTGCTGTCTCCGTTTGATTTAGCCCTCTACATTTTGGCTTTTAAACCTCTCAAAATGTAAGTTTTCTCAGTTATGTGATAAAAAGTATCTTAAATTTGTTTTCATTTCATATGAGCTTTTATGAAACTCGTCTCGAAGTTTTAATTTTTGCTTGTCAAGGCTCGCAAAAATAAAAACTCCTAAGACTCGTTTTATAAAATCTTTTATGAAATGAAAACTCATGTAAGATCTTATATATATATATATGCATTTGCAGTTGTGAAATTCTGTTCAAATTTCAAATTTGATATCGCTACATAAATATTGTATTTGTCTGTTGAGTTCAACGTTTAAAAGACCATATCTTTTAAAAGACTATATAAATATTTCATGTATCTCTAAAAATAGAGCCAATCTTAATCATGTAGTGTTTTTTTTTTACCAATATGTGTGGTAGTATTGATGAGGTGATGAAACAGAAGGTCCCATCATTGTATATTTTATTAGAAACTGTATCTATCTATGCTTTCTACCTGCTTGTGTATAATTATTTTATGACTGTCTCTATATTATGTATGTATTTTAACTGATACACTGAATTGTTTTAGTTGTTTAAATACTATATGTTACCAGAGGCGAGGCTGATATGAAATATTTGAACTTGAACTTGCTCAATCCATTTGCTTGGCAATACAATATGTTTAAACTAAAACTTGAGCTTGAACCTTCCAAGCTTAAGACGTCACAGGCGTAACCTCGCCGTTTACCGCGCGGGCTCACTACCACTGGCCATTGAGACGGGACTGTACGCCAGGTCGCCCCTTCAACTCATGGACAGACTTTGCACCAATTGTGACCAGAATAAAGTGGAGAATGAGAAACATTCTCTAATAGAGAATTCAAATTAATGATTTACTAGTATTATCAGTTTACACCATGTACCACGAAGACATTTCTACCTTTGACCTTCATATAAGTATATTACTCCACACAGAGTTACGGAATTATATAATATTTTATGTTTATGTTATTTTGGCCCTACTGAACTCAAGGGTCTTTGTACAGCGCACGTGTTTCTTTTTAATGTAGTTCACTCCTCCTTCTCCAAACTATTTTTATGTTATTCCTTTATTGATTGAGTCGGGTTCTGAAGTAAGTGCTAGCCTGATAGGGATCCCACCACTTGGCATAATCTTGTGTGCGCCACCTTGTTGATGAGACAAGAGAAAATAGTTCGATCCTTTGATGTACATCAAAAGAATCTCGCAGTCACGTAACGGTAAAACTTGACAAGCTTTAAAGTTGGGCGTTTCTCCTTTGTAATCTTCAAAGGACAGGTATCAGCCTAGCGATTGGTCAGTTTTTTTACATGACACCATTCAAACAGCTATCTTCGTGCCTTCAATTTTGCTATGACATATTCCAGGGGTGCAGAGAGCAAAAGTGAGCGTAACCCCTGGTTATCGAGGATGAATGAGAGTGTACACACGAACAACTGATTAACAGCAGAATATTATGAGTGAAATTCTTCGTGGTGAATTGAAAGAAAATAATGTAAGTAATATTGAAAAACAAAAAAAACAAAACTTGCAACGATGGAAGACATGCTACAGGGAAGAGAGAGATTACCTCTAATATCAAAGATGGTTCAGTTGATATCAGTGTACAGTTTTGATTATTTTTTACTGACTTGGTAGTCGTGACAGGTAGAACAAAATACAGGGACGTTGGGGAGCTACTAATGTACATGCTGAAATAGAAAGAAAACAGCATGGATGCTTTTTTTTTTTTTTTTCTTTTTTTTTAGTTTTTCTGTTAAATTTTTACTTTCAAATTGAAACAGTGCAGTATAAAACGAAATTCGTTTTTTTTTTCTATTAAAGTGTTTACTTTTCCTATTTTTGTTTTGATTCTGTCAATAGCAGACAGTCCATTATTGCAAAACATAATGGACACTCTGGTATAATAATGGATTCCTATGTGTCCATCTTGAAATATAGTGTACAAATACAACAATGGATGACGTCACAACTGGGTTTTAAGTACCAATGATTTGCATCTTATATGATGAACGACTGTTATTTGTATATTTTTCTCATTATGTTTAACCAAACGGTGTTTTTCCCGGTTGGACCATATATTTTCCCTCTCAAATATTTACGCAATGAATTGGTGGTTTCTTGCATATTTTATCATATTCTTGCATGAGCTTTTGCTATGTTCTGTCCCGGCATCACATACTGGCTTGTATATTCTCCTTCTTGGTGTAATATTTGGCATATTTTTTTTAACACATCCCGTATCTTTATGTCCCTTATGGTAGACATCTCGTTATGGCTCGCTAACAATGTGCAATGGTTACAATGGAGTGTACAAAATTTCAACTCATAAGGCTGTTTGAAACTTTCCAGTTGTTTTAGTTTAGTAAGAGAAAAGCCTATTGTCATCCCCACGCTTCCCTGTTACTTAATGGCTACTGCATCAAAGCGGTGATATAGCAAAAAACAGACCCCTCAAATTCACACCGGTCCAGCTATATGACAATCGGGAACCGTCGGCACTTTCTGTAAACGAAAAATATTTTCGCGTTTACGGAAAGTGCCGACAATTCCCAATTCGCTATATGAGTGACACTTCTAGTTTTTCGTCGTTACTTTCTGACGTGTTGCAAAACTATAATGTACAGAGCCTACGACCTAAACTCGACCTTCTCTTCACTGAATAATATAGTTTTAGTATTCTAGCATTAACCGAAACTGGATTAAACGAACCCAAAACGATAGCGATATAAAACTACCGGGTTTTCAAAAACCTTTCTGTCATTATAAACTTGATAAAATAGGCGGAGGAGTAGCAGTTTATGTACTGAACGATATATTTGCTAAAAGACGATAGGATCCGTTTGGATCGAGCTTCACATAAAGGATGAAACTACTATTCGAACCTTTTTACAGACCTCCAAATTCTGACATTAATGATTTGAGCAGATTTGAACATTCCATTGATTTAGCATATAATACCGGTATTGATAATTTAGTTATAACGGAATACTTTAACTCAAATATTCTTCGTCTTGGTCCCCGTCTTAAACGGTGAATGCATATTAATCAGCTGTATGGTATGTCACAGCTCATCAACGAATACAACTTTTACACTGAAACAAACTCTAGTTTATTAGATATTGTTTCTCGTACGTATGTAGACGAACATTTTTTAGAACAGAATACGCGCTATCATTGCCCTGTTTACGGCCTACTTGGTCTAAGGAACATCGTGCTAATTATAACAAACGAAATATCAGGCTGTTCAAATACGGAGACTAACATTTTGGCCACAGAAAACTTATAGACGTTAACTGTAACGCTCACATTAAACTGGATGACCCAAATGAATCTCGTAGGAATTTTACTGAACTAATTATGACCATTGCCCGAGAATGTATACCTGATAAGTCTGCAACAATCAGACTCTGTGATCTGCCATGGATGTGTAACACAATTGACTGGCTTAATTTCAGACGTTTACGTAACAAATGCGTTAATGCTTGTGCGATTGCTAAAAAGAAATTTATGACAACAAGCTAACTTCTATCCTACGTGATACTGATAGTCTAAATATCATTTCTGTATAATATGAAATGTTTTTTGTGTATACACATTCGGGGTTTTCGTGGTTGCTATGGAACAATGAACATAAATACAACGAATTTGAATTTGATACAGGTGTCTACTGTTTGTTAATAAAGGATATCCACGAAAGTTTGTACCACGAAACGATCTCAATGGCTTCAAACCACGAAGGAAAGTACCCATGAACATTTCGTGTTATACAGTATTAAATATTATCAAATATTATTCATCGGCAACCTCAGTAAATCAAATTCAATCAAACTCTAGTACATGCAGGTTCCAAATACGAAAATACGGGTGAAATAGCCAAATTATTCAATTATTATTTTATTTCCCAGTCTACTGTTGACGACACACGCTCCAATCGTCCCGTCAACCAAACTCAGATTCATAAATTAGATAATATCATCATAACAGTTATGGGTGGTTGCGATGCTTTATTTTTGCTCGATACCTTGAAAGCTATTAGCCCAGACCTGATGAATCCACGTTTATTAAAGGAGGGCGCAAATGAACTATCTGTGCCTTTATGCATCCTTTCTTACTTATATATATATACAAACTGGCATATTTCCAGACACGTGAAAAAGGTAGCGTCCTATTTCTCTTTTAAAGTTCATTCGAAAAGTAATGGAGAGGTGTATGTTTACGTATGTTCGTCATGTTTAAAATAAGTAGACTTTAGTTACAAAATGCCAGTCTGGATTTCGCCCTGGCGATTCTACAGTAAATTTATCATTGGCTATAACAAACGATTTGGGAAGAGCAGTTGACTTGGGAATATAAGCAAGACATTTGACCGTGTGTGGAACAAAGACCATTTATACAAACTTTTGAATAATGGATTAGGCGGTTAATTTTTCAAATGTTTCAAAAACTACGAAACAAACAGAAAACAAAAAATTATAATTAACATAATATAATGAACTCCGGTTCATAAATTAGATAATATCATCATAACAGTTGTCGGAGGTTGCGGTCCTTATTTTCTCTCGATACCTCGAAAGCTATCGGCCCAGACCTGATGAATCTTATTAAAAGAGAGCGCAAATGCACTATCTGTGCCTTTATGCACCCTTTCTTACTTATATATACAAACTGGCATATTTCCAGACACTTGGAAAATAGCTAATGGTATTCCTGTACATAAAAAGAAAGAGACGAACAGCGTGAAAAAGTAGCGTCCTATTTCTCTTTTAAGGATAAATCGAAAAATAATGGAGAGGTGTATGTTCATCATGTTTAGAATTAGTAGAATTTAGTTACAAAATGTCAGTCTGGATTTCGCCCCGGCGATTCTTCAGTAAACTTATTATTGGCTATGACTCGGGAAAATAAGAAAAACTATGTTTTGTGATATAAGCAAGACATTTGTGTGGAACAAAGACCATATATACAATGTACAAACTTAGACAAACAGAGAGTGTGATGTGTGGTATTGTTTGTGGTATCGCAGTCTGCAATTTTCGAGGTCACCTGTTCCGCTGTTTTTGATGAGCATCAAGATGCGGATTCCACTTTGTCGCCTTCAATGGTATTAGTGAGATGTGACGTCGTCTCCAGTTTGTCAGAGGGAGAATGTAAGATGAAATAATTTTCAATTTTGTTTGATTTTAATGTTATTATTGATATAGAAATAACCTGACCTAAACCAAAAGTAACAATATTCGTAGGGATTGATTGTAAGTAAAACAGTAAGTAGAAATACGAAGCTTAAGGGAGCACCTATTCAAAATTTTGCTTGTCATTGCAGAAATTTATTTTGACCAAAAGAAGTAAGATAATGTTTTCCTCTTTCCATTTTTCTTTTATTACATGTGCTGTAGAAGTAAACATTCTCGCCGGTAGCAATGTTCGCGCGGTGATACTTTAACACTACGGCGGTATTAACATTTTTGCATTGGCAATACTTCTTAAATCCTTATATTCTATATGTATATATATTATGTTATGTACATCCAAATACAATTAAAAAAGTAAAAATTTCCACTTTTACAGTTTAGGAAAAAAGTGTCATACATTGTAGGTATAAGTGTAAAAATAGCATACTATCAATTTGATTACAATTATAAGTAATTTAATCGATAGTATATTATTTGATATATGGTTTCGAATGATATTATGCATACACATAAAATATGAGGCTGATTCTTGATGTGCTTAAAGCAAATATATTGAATACATATCTAAACAAGCAAAAGATAAATAAGGCACGAAGAGAGCATTGAATCCTTATAACATGGTTAAAATGCTCGTGTATATCTCATTTTCCAACAAACTTTGCACGTGCAACACTCTTCCAAAACCTTCCCCGTATTCCATATATCAAGAAATGACATGTGGGTATGGCTTCCGATGTCGATGTAGCGAACACTTATTTTTTGTATGTATAGGATTTCCTAACAAGCAAACAACATAAAATTCTATAAAACCTCTAGATCTCCTCCTAAGACCCTGAAAAGGTCACGATCAGAATGTTCCGCTGAACTTACCAATCAGGTGACTTTGTAAGTCTGCTAAGTGTTGATTTCATGTGTCGATAGATGGATGCTTTGGGAATGAATGAAATGAAGATCTTGTAAATAGTATGACATCAGTGTTTATTGTCTGCCGAATTGAGGAACCGATGGCAATGGCAAATGAAGATTCCTTTGGCATTTTTAAAACCCAAACTGTGAGAAAGGGTTTTTCATCACGGCATGATTTGACAAGTTCTTGGCTTACACATGCTATACACTTTCCTCAACTTGCTCAGGGTGAAGGGTCACGCGTACGCACCGGGTACAATGCCTCCTTGTTTCAAATCAACAATATATGAGAATGGGGATAGGACAGGGATCAGTGCTGAACAATTGCTATCATAACACTGACTGCCCTTCGGGTTTCAGGTCATTCATGGGTTTTTCTTCGTCATGTAAATTCTGAAAAAAGAAAACAAGTATGAGTACTTTTGAATTTTATTTTATCTAGGGCGTATATATCAAACTATTTGGCACTATTGAAAGTAAAATAGATAGACAGCAGAAGAAAAAAAATGTGGACCACAAATCGACTTTATAACGGAAATTGATTAGTGTCGGTCGTGTGGAGGTGTTCACGATGATATTCCAAACATAGATATTGATTGCCTTTCTTCTTCCACACTTATTTTACCGAAAGGGAAGGACTATCTCAACATGATTTTCAGCTATAACGTAAATAACCCTAGATTACAAACGCCATAAGACAGTATCATTTTAAACGCAAATTCCTTTTTGTGTGATTGAAGAAATGACAACCTGGTATTTCTATATGTCCTGTAGTGCTTAAAGGTTAGTTAACTAACATCATATTAGACATTTAGTAACCAAATGTTGCGAAACTAACATTCTTACGAAGCAAAACATTCTAAAATTTACCACATAAAGTTATAGTAAATGGTCTTTTGACATTTCGCCATCGTTATCCACATGCAAAAGTTTCGAATGATTGCGCATTTGGTTATAAAAACTTTTTGCAATCTTTGTTTATCTTATCAAAGAAACGGTTTTCATTCTCAGGTTAAACTCGTATTCCATTGTCCAGTAATAAAGAATAGCTTACGCCATTTAGTTCGGGAAAGTCCGTTCTACGTCGGAATCGTTTTCGTGCGCTCTCCGGCAGACAACAGCAAACTAAATCACACACAGGAACCCAGAGCTTAGGATCGACGGGAGGTTGATCTGCAAAATATCAATATGTAATACAATGGTATGATGACCACCGGAGGTTATAACATATACAACTTGGCATGAGTGTGATCTCATTCTGTTATCCTATGCCGTGCACTTCTCTAGATAAATTGAATATCTTTCCTGACCGGGTTACCTCAGTCAAGGGTGAAATTCTATAACATACTGGGTTTTTCCTTGTACCTTTTCGTAAGAAAAACTACTCAATTTTGCTATAGTCTACAAGTATCCCGTCCGGACCCTGAAATAAATAGGGCTTCTTCATTTCTAAAGCTAAATTTGAATGCTTCCGCGTAAACAATGTAGTCCGTCAAACACTCGAAACAATGTAGTCTGTAAAAACTCGAAACGGGAAGTTAGAAGCACTTATTTGGAATTTTGTAAAGTTCGATGCAGAAAGCTAAACAAATGAATTATATACAGCGATATGATAATTTTGTCCACTTAAGATGCATGCGTAATACAAAAGGTATGCAATAATTACGTCAATTCTTACAGAAAAGCTACAATGTAATATCAGTCGCAAATATGATTGCTTGCACTTCCATATAGAGATTATTCATTAGAAATAGTATGGTTTATTAAGGATAGCTGTATCACTGATAAAAACTGTAATTACATTTTGTTTTTCAGCATTAATATGGTATTGATGAATTGTTGCTAAAAAAAAGCATACGGTGCAGAAATTTGAAAAAACATAATTAAAAATGAACAAAAGTATTACCAATGCAATAGCAAAAATATCAACAACGGTGTCCTCAATGTAAATATAAAACAAGGCAAGCCCAGGAATCTATCCATGGGCCTCAAACCAAATTAGCTATCGGGACAACGGAATTATTCAGGCTAAATCGAGCTTGTTATATCCAAAACTAACTAAAGGGGAGGTAACTGTTCTTACGAAAGACTGCAGCGGAAGTCTCTAGTGTTTTACCAGCAGTAGTATCGGGGTCCTTAACAGTAAGGCCAATGAGACATTTGTTTGGACGATATATATATAGAATACAATACCTTTGAGTCGACTAACAAGGGAGCCGGTTATTAACACAATGAGGACACCTAGTGCTCCTAGCCACATGTACGAGACGGAATACAGTACATCTAGTCCGGTTCTGTAGAGGAAAAAAAATACTGCATCTTATTTTGACTTTTTACTAGTATTGATAAACATCTTCTTTATCAACGAATCATTCTTTTATATCAAAATACGATACCTAAAGTTGGTTTTGTTGAAACTTCTGCCATTGATACAGGATTTCTTTTCAAAACAAATTTCGACTAATGAAGGACTTTAACGATATAACCCAAAGACTATCTACGGAAACATAGGACCCTGCGGTGTTCATTTCCAAAGCCAACCATTATGGTTAATATAAAATTGTTCACCACATTGTGTTTATTTTGCAGATAATATTTACTGACTATAAGCAAATTGATTTGAAAAAATATTTTGATTGTATGATTTATTTTTATTTTTTTAAAGACACAATTTACATCATACTCACGGTGACGTCACAGTTTCCACAGCTGGCGTGGTGACATCTATGGTGTACATGGAGCTGTTGTACATGGTACTATTGAAGGCAAAAGAGGCGTTTGGGGACAAACAGTTATACGTTGGAGCTGGGTCTAGTTTTGGATGAACCTTCACACCAGGAGAAATTATTTTTCCTAATGAAATCCATCCGACGAACAGGACACTGCACATTCCTCCTACTATTGCACCCTATGTTGTGAGAAAGTGTCAATCGGTTAAGGTTTCATTTTGTTTAAAAAGGAGTTATTTGTAATATAATTACTGAAAAATGAATAAAGGAACTGCACATTCAAAAGTTTAATGTGACCAAACAGAAACTCAAACAATGAAAACATTTTACTGCGCCATTTAGTCTATTTAGATAGTATATGTAAAATTGAGGTCAATACCCCTGCAGGTCGGGGATCGAGAAAAGAATACACCTGTTATTACCCACTGTATGTATCGTAAGAGGGGACTGATGTGGAAATCCCCACTGCAGAATTGGGGATTCGCTTTTGCGCCCTCTAATTGAAGATACAAAGGCGACCAAAATAAATGTATTGCACCCATTGCAATCTTTGGAATATTTATATATTTCTCTCTAGTTCAAACTACATTTTATTTCCTAGAGCCTTGCTTGGAAATACCTCACTTCTCACTTTAATGCTGAACGTTCGCCCAGGTAAGGAAGGCAATGGGTTCTGTCCCCAGGCCGGGATATACTTAAGTCCTTAAAATGGAAGTTGTTATTCCCTGCTTAACGTTCAGCGTTTATGGTAATGGTAACAACAGGTTCACCTGTTGTCTGTATAATGTGACTGGGCGGAATACTGTGCTGGGTGCCTCCGATATGGTGTTTCAGTGAGGTAACACTATAAAGTCGGCGTCAGATCCGCGCTATCACAAGGAGGCAAGCACCCGAACATACCCTGTCTCCAGCAAACACACACTAGCACGCTTACACAACACACATGGAGGAATGTACTAATTTATTAAAATAAAACCAACTTTAAGGTCAAATGAGTGGCTATCAATGTCCGAAGTGTCCCTGAACAGGAGAAGATACATGAGTAGGAAGTGTATTGATAATCAGACGAGAGACAGCATAACTGTGAAATTTGAAATATCAGATGGTCATGCATGGGGGACAAAACCAACAATAACACATGTATTTATTACATTTTTGCCGGTGAAATATCGGATTCTATCAACTTGATAAAATGATATCTTTCACACTGTGACAAATATCAAAAGTGATCTTTTCATTCTTTTTGGTATTGACCAATCATAACGGTATCTTTTATTCGCTGCATTCAAGGGCAACGATTTTATTTTTCAGATTCAAATGAAGCGCCGGTAGAATAAGTGGTTGCTATGGTAAATGTTTGGTACACACACTTAAGTATTTACATAAATATACAATTAAAATCCTTTTTATAAGCAGTCATACCAGAAAATAGCAGAAAACGTCGGAATTGCGTTGAGTATTTCATTTAAAATGGCGCGCAGCTTGTTGTCAAGCGTGACGTCATTATAATATGGCGCTAATTATTACGCTTCTGATTCCCGCCCTTATTTATTGCATTATATTTTTCATGTTTTATGCTTTAAAAATGTAATAAATAGAAATTGTAATGCTATCTTCAGTAATGAAAAATATATTTCACTCATGTGGCTAATATTTTGATATTTTCACTCGTGCTGTGCACTCGTGAAATATATCAACATATTAGCCACACTCGTGAAATATATTTGTTATAACTGAAGACACCATTAAATATCCTCTATATCCATTACAGGAATGTGGATAGATAATGTTAAAAGGTGTAGAATTCACATATACAATATCTTTAGTTAATAAAAAGAGCGTTTGGTGTGAAATCATGTGCGTAATGTGAACAAATATTTCTACAATTTTATACACGCAATGACTCTTAAATACATTTAGATGTACACTTAGTTGTGATGTATATCACAGGGATTACTTTTATTAGGTTATACGTGTTGCATACCAATGAATTTGCCCATGGGTTAAGGAATCCGAGAACGAAAATGCCTGTCAAAGCTCCCGTCAGACTTGACGATGTGATGTTAAAAATCTGCAAAGAAAAACACAAAGATGGCGGCATTAAACGCTCTCAAGCGTGTCGACATTGAAGAAACAAGACCCAAATAAAAAATATACTTCCATTTATCAAATAGCTACGTGTGCTTTATCTCTTATAAACCGCTTAAAGGGACATCACGTGAAAAGGCGTTTTTTTTTTNGAAAGCACTAAGATAACTTTTATATTTACATACGGATATATGTAACTCTCCGTCAACCTGGAGTATTAAACAGCAAAGTATTTAGAGGGACCTTTCAACATTACACTGAATTATCCTTTTCCAACACGAGCATGAAAACGTCAAATGACCATTAGTTTTGACAGTGTGATTACAGGATCTCACGCTGTTGTCGACAACGATGGTGTTACAATCACTGGTCTGTTTCGATTTCTCGCCACCACACAGCGTTACCTATCATTTACTTTGTTTAGTGTGTTTCGATTTCTCGCCACTACGCAGCGTAATCTATCATTTACTTTTTTGTCTGTTTCGATTTCTCGCCACCACGCAGCGTTATCTATCATTTACATTGTTTAGTGTGTTTCGATTTCTCGCCACCACGCAGCGTTATCTATCATTTTCTTTGTTTAGTCTGTTTCGATTTCTCGCCACCACGCAGCGTTACCTTCCATTTACATTTCTTGTCTATTTCGATTTCTCGCCACCCCGTAGCGTTACCTTTCATCTACCTTTCTTGTCTATTTCGATTTCTCGCCACCACGCAGCGTTACCTTTCATTTACTTTTCTTGTCTGTTTACATTTCTCGCCACCACGCAGCGTTACCTTTCATTTACTTTTCTTGTCTATTTCGATTTCTCGGCACCACACAGCGTTATCTATCATTTACTTTTCTTGTCTGTTTCCATTTCGCGCCACCACGCAGCGTTATCTATCATTTACTTCTTTTGTCTGTTTACATTTCTCCCAAACACGCAGCGTTATCTATCATTTACTTCTTTTGTCTGTTTACATTTCTCCCAAACACGCAGCGTTATCTATCATTTACTTCTTTTGTCTGTTTACATTTCTTGCCACCACGCAGCGTTACCGACCATTTAATTCTCCGGTCTGTTTCTGTTTCACGCCACCATGTAGCGTTACATATCTGTTACTTCTCCGTTCGGTCGCCGTTTCACAACACCACGAAACGTCACATGTCTGTAACTTTGCCAGTCTGTTGCCGTTTCAGACTGACGCGCAGCCTTACATATCTTGCACTTTCTCCGGTCTGTTTATGTTTTACGCCACCACGCCACTACGTCCCTCACACGAATAACATCACACAGTTAAATGTCCCCGACAAACGGTGTTAAACCAATTTCAATATTCTACTTTTGCAACCAATGCCAATAAATATGATATATTATTAGTTATGTGAGACTCATGTAAAGAATTCCTTTTGCTTATTTCGTGACGGTTACGGTAGCAAATTAAATTGTTACATTTTACTGAAAGTGGCTGACGTAGAACTAAGGTGAAAGGACAGACTGATTCTCCACGGTTGACTTTCTCGTTTGAATCACTGTCTTCAGTTTAAAACCTCGTTATACTGCCACTGTTCGTCCAGAGAAATAATGGCGTTATAATGGGGTTTCGCAAAAAATTATAACAAATATTTAAAGGCATTCTTAAGGGAAGGAGAAAAAGGGACCTTGAAATATGTTGCGGTAAGTGAGATTGCAAATGGAACAAAGGGGCCTTATATCGAGATTTACTGTATATATCTTTATAGAGTATAGACAGAGTTTACACATGATAGTTTCCTTTATCTCTTGAAAATATGACCCTAAGTAAAATAGACGAGCATGCGCCATAGGTTCAAGAACGATTAGTTACCATACCGAAGATATCTAAGTAAAGGTAACAACAGAAGACAAGGAGGAGCGAACAGTGGGCTAAAAACATCAAGAACCAAACTAAAACCCTGGATTGGAAGCGTTTTGCGCAACACATATGGCCCTGAAATGATTTATGTTGGCAAATCTAGGTACGTACGTTCGTCGAATATGACATAAGTTACAACGATGTACATGTCATTGCATGCAATGCATCACATATTGAGGAAGCACGGTTGTCTAGTGGTAGGACGCCGGGCTCGTCACCGAAGGGTTGCGCGTTCGAGTAACGGCACGGCACTGTGTTGTATCTTTGAGCAAAATACTTTACTCCGCTTGTTCCAGTCCACTCAGCTGTAAATGAGTACGAGGTTGAGCAGTGCTAGAATTGTAGAATCTAATCTGTGAGCGCCGAAATGGCATCACCAGCTCTATGTTCCCTAGGGAGTTGAGAAAGATATTGGCTGGCTGCTAAGGCCCTATAACCACGGATAATAATTAGTGAACCGCCTAGAGACGACCTACGAACAAGGATGTGATAAAGCGGTATATAAGAACCTCGAATTATTATTATTATTATTACATTTAAATCAACATGAGAATGCCAAAGTAAGGACAAATCCGTTATTCGAACTCAACATCGATAACACTATAACAAACTACGAACAATGCGTTACATAGCGCCGGGACTGGACTTGAACCCGCAACCCTTCGGTCACGAGCCCGGCGTCCTACCACCAGACTACCATACTGTGTCAAAATATCGTCATGCAAAATGACTTTCCTTTTCATAAGACCGTGTTTAAACACAGTTTAAGATACTACATGATGCTGTTTGAGATAACATAGATTCTCAGCTAGATAGAACCCGATGGAAAAATAAAAGGAGCATCTTCTGTTTCATCGACAGCAACAGTCATGTAGAGCTAGGTCAAATCCAAGTAATGCCAGGTCCTCAAAACGGGAACCAGGGTAATAAATACTAATAACGTTTAAGAAATATACATTATTTCCAAATAATAATTATCATGATAGCGATAATAAAACTTCATGGTGATGTTGTTACTAAAGATCGCAGTAAGCGAATTAAATCAGGATTGTTGACGATATTCACTGGGTCGAATACATCGTGGCTGTAAAGCTATTATGCAAGACCTGGTCGTGAAATATAAGTCGGCATGCTTATTGTAGGCCCCTCTTTCTAGAGGACAAATGAGAAATAATCTGTTCTCGTAAGGCTCGTTATTCAAGGACAAAACTTTTCATAATAAAATCAATAATAATTCGAGGTTCTTATATACCGCTTTATCACAAACAGGTTCTAAGGTCGTCTTAAAGCGTTTCACAAATTATTATCCGTGGTTATAGGGCCTTTTCAACCAGCCAATATATTTCTCAACTCCCTAGGGAGCATAGAGCTGGTGCTGCCATTTCGGCGCTCAACACAATTCTAGCATTGCTCATCCACATACTCATTTAAAGCTGAGTAAACTTGAAAAAGCAGAGTAAAGTATCTCCCTCAAAGATGCAACACAGCGCCGGGACTAGACTTGAACCCGCAACCCTTCGGTCACGAGCCCGGCGTCCTACCACCAGATTACCATACTGTATCAAAATATCGTCATGCAAAATGACTTTCCTTTTCATAAGACCGTGTATAAGCACAGTTTAAGATATTACATGATGCTGTTTGAGATAACATAGATTCTCAGCCAGATAGATGCAAGTATTCTATACAAAGAGAATGAAACGAAAACAGTTTGTACTGTATATCAAAATCCTTACTTGTGTAGCAGGACCTTCTATTCCAGAAACAACAAACGCGACCACACCGCCAATAACGGCGAATACGAAGACTGAAATAAACAGAAGCATACATTTATATACAGAACCCAAATTTATACATAGATATATTTACTTTTTTGTAATAGTTCTTTGTATATAAAACCATATGGAAGATGAACGTAACACTCACAGGTGATTGACCTACACAATTTGGTAAGAGATACAGTAAGCCAAAACATGAATTTTATTGCATTATACAGCTGTTTTGGCCTTCTATGACTTATCAGTGATATTAGGGGCCAAACAAATTGCAAAAGGAAATTCTCAAATTGTCTTATCTACCGTTAAAAAAGAATGTTTTTTTTAGAGGTGCGCTGGTTAATTTCAAATTAAATTATTTGTATAGTGTTTATATTACGCATCATGCCACTGTTGGTTCGACGCAACAGGTTTTTAAAGCAACTTAGCTTTCACTAGAATAAAAATGTAAACAGCTTTATGCCACTTGTCGTTTAACGAAAGCATTAACCTGAACTAGTAGCATTCTATTTTGACAAGTTTCACAGTCCAACAACAATGCCTAACTGGTGAAACAGTGTATAAACAGTTAGATGTACACACCTGCGATTTGGGCTATGATAATTCCTCTCCTTTCCGACATCGGTTTGGTGTGGGGTTTAACAATATCCTCCCAAAACACTGCAGACAGACTACTCAATAGAGATGACATGGTGCTGAAAACAGATAATTCAGACTTGATAAATCTTGATTCAATATTACTTATGTTATATGTTTAATTGTGATATTGTGAATTGCTTACCGTTATAAATTATCATAAGGTATACTTGGAAAACTTTGATCGTTTATCTTCTTACCATACTGGTCATACGTTTGAAAGATTATATTCCTAAAAGCTCAAATTATATTATAATTAATTATAAATTTAATAAAATTAGCCCCCCTCCTTCCTCCCGCCCGACAACTCGATATCGCAGACGGAGATGAAAGTTACATACATGCTTTACTGTAACTCCACCCCCTAACGTACATGTAATACTCACACCAAACTTTGAATAGACTCATGCTTATGCTGTCCATAGTTTTGAATAACAGGACCAATTATGGGTTGCATCGAAATATATTATACACTAAAATTATTAATAAAACAATATGAAGAAATATTAAATATGAAGCAGTATTCATTCTTCTATTTGAAGCAGAAAGTCATAGACAGTAGATATTTTACAGCATTAAATTCATTCATTTTGGACATTATCAGTGCAACTAAAGAGTGGTAATATTCAGAAACAAAATAATGATAATAATAATAATTATTATTATTATTATTTGAGGTTCTTATATACCGCTTTATCACAACCTAGATTGTAGGTCGTCTCAAAGCGGTTCACAAATCAAATTATTATCCGTGGTTATAGGTTCTTTGCAACCAACCAATATCTTTCTCAACTCACTGGGGATCATACATTCGGTGCTGCCATTTTGGCGCTCACAGCTAGAATTCAACAATTCTAGCACTGCCCGACCACGTACTCATTTACAGCCGTGTAGACTGTAACCAGCGGAGTAAATTATCTTACCCAAAGATACAACACAGTGCCGTGCCGTGACTCGAACCCGAAACCCTTCGCTCACGAGCCCGGTGTCCTACCACTAGACTACTCTGCCACCTAAAAGTATGTAAATAGGTTTGCCTGAGTTGCAACCGATAATACTATACCTGAGAGAAGCACTAAAGAGAGCCGCTAAGAACAGTCCCGGCATGCAGGGAGTGTCCTGGAATATGTCTACAACCATGGCTGGAATTAACTTTAAACAATTAAATATATTAATTAAATTTTCAGATAAGACTGGTTTATAATGTAAGAAAGAAAATAAAAGTTCAAATACATTCTCTCAATATTTTATATGGGAACCATCGTTAAACAAATTTATATTATTTGCTCATTAAAGTGTGCATTGATTGATTATTTTTAGCCAACAAAGAGCTTTGCTTTTCCTTGTGAAGTACATTAACGAAATTATGAAACCATCTCAATACACTAAACAACCTGATTTTCATTGCCCAACCGCTTCGATACCAAAGGATCACAGCCCTGTTTGTTGAAGTAAGCAAACATGACAGCGCCCTCCAGTATGGCTAGCCATGACACAAATAGAAAGGAAAACGCCGTAACAAGGTACATACTGAAATAACAAAAAACAAAACAAAATACTATCGTATTGTCCAACTCATCCTCGATGTACCGGGAGTAACGCTCAATTACTTTCTTCGCACCCCTGGGATATGTCATGACAAAATTGAAGGCACCGTGTGCACCACATTGTGGATGAGACAAGGAGACTAGTTTGATCCTTTGATGTACATCAAAAGAACCTGTTGGTCGCGTAACGGTCAAATTTATTGACTTTGGAGTCGGGTTTCACTCCTTTGTAATTATCAAAGGACATTTATCAGCCTAACGATTGGTCAGTTTGAGACCAATCAAATGGGTAGCCGCGTGTGTTCAATGTTGCTTTGACAGTTTCCAGGGGTGCAGATAGCAAAAATTAGCGTTAACCCTGTGATATTGAGGATGTGTCTAACTTACTTCCTTACTTCACACAAACCGCTAAATAAATGTAATAACCATTGAAAAGTTAAATGTAATAGGTAGTGGTAAATCACTTATTCAATGACAGTATTTGATACAAAAAACCAAAACATCTTAAATTGAGGCAATATAAATATAAAGATATAAATATCAATGTAAAAAAACATGTTGAACGTTTTAGAAAGTCGGAAGACAAAATCACATTTTTTGAAGGGTAGTACGTATTTCAATGAAACACATTAATATACAGTTCCTGTCGCCAAAGGTAATTAACAAACATGAAAGTAACTTAGTAATGCAAACCTAACGATACAAAACATACAGCTAGAGTGACTTTACATACTTTTTCGTTGATTTCAAAGTTGGCGTGGCCTTTATCCTCTGGAAGGACGTTTGCATGAAAACCGTGGCGAAGCCTCTCACTGAACTTCCAAAAACAAGACTCCAAAATGATTGTCTCAACGTCGGGTCGGGATCCATTCTTCAATAAAATGCATATGGTATTTCGAATGTCTTTGATGATTCATGCCTGAACTATTCGTAACCGCTTTATATATGAACAAATATTTTAGTCTAACTGCAAAATGATTTCTTTCTATTATTAGCAATATCATCTCAATGCCATTTTTATACTTACATTAAACAAATACAAACTACAAATACGACGCAAGGATGTACCTATATAGCATTTAGTTTATCGATGCTGAAAACATTAAAAACAAACATTTTTTTACGCGATTGACAACTTCCTTCATCTTGAACGAATCAGTGGTACTATAGTTAAAAATACATATAAAAACGAGCATGTTTGAAGTGATCTGAAATTAAGATTCAAAGGAACACATAGGCTATAAAGCATTTGCAGATACCTTGTAGATTTATAATAATATAGTTGGAGGTTCTTATATACCGCTTTATCACAACCTAGTTCGCAGGTCGTCTCAAAGCGGTTCACAAATTATTATCCGTGGTTATAGGGCCTTTGCAACTAGCCAGTACATTTCTCAACTCCCTGGGGAGCATACAGCCGGAGCTGCCATTGCGGCGCTAACCGCTAGCACTGCCCAACCACGTACTCATTTACAGCTGAGTAGACTGGAACACGCGGAGTAAAATATCTTGCTCAAGGATACAACACATTGCCGTGCCGTGGCGCGAACCCGCAACCCATTTATGCTGTTGACAACTATATGAAATAAAAATATTAGAACATTTGGAATTTTTGAACGTTTGTGTCTTGAGATGAGCTTTCAATTGAAAAGCAATACATTGTAACAAACGATGCGCTAATATAATAAAAACAAATCGACATTTTCATTAATTGCCTATTTCCTTCATGTATGAAAATATCCAAAGACTATGGAATAACGGTAATTTAGTCGTTTCATTAATACCCTGTAATTTTCCCCCATTGCAAAAAGTGATGGATGCGTAATAATGCTTACACGAATAAGTTGACTCGTCCAGTATCGTAAACAGTAGTCCATGTTTCCTTTACTCCGCCTGACTCAATGGTGCCCTATGATTGAAGATATGAGGAGTGTTGTATAAAAATAAGTCGACATACTGTGCATAATCAAAAGAACACCATTTAAGATACTTGTCACCGAATTACACATGCGCTTGGAGTCACAATACTCTGTTTGAGATGTGCGAGATGCGAGTTCATAAGCATTACATCGTGTAAAGTAACAATCTTATGACAATCCCTTTGATAATTGCAGGTTGTCTATGCTCTTGTTCACCTTTTTATACTCATTTATACAATTTCAAACATTTATAGACAATTAATTTATTCTACAAATGAATAATACCTTGGATAATTTTTGAACGAAAACATGCCTTTTTCTGTGATGTAATTGTTTAGCCTCTACCCAGGGTTACTACCTTGATAAGCAGGGCGAATATTCCACATAACATAATGATGGCCTGTATCACATCCGACCAAATGACTGCCTTGAATCCTCCCTAGAAGTCAAAACGATGCCTTTATTTGATGCATGTTATATTACAATAATTATTTCTATCTACATACATTACACTCTAAAGATGAATGACAAATAAATCTTCTTTGCTTTTCATGGCTTTTATTTTTGTTAACAAGAAATCAATATAATCAATTAACCTTAATTGTATTTGGTTTCATTCCCTCACATATTTTACCATTAGTGTATATAATTATACCAACCATAGGTAATCAACCATCAGTATATTTACTAGCACAAACAAACTTTCAGTGTATATAAAAACACCAACATAACGTAAATAAGCTTACTATCAGAGTATATATCAGCACCACAATCAGAAGACCAATGATAGACATCCATGTTGGAATACCAGCCACTAAAAATAAAACAAAAATAAACGAAACAAAAACAAAAACAAAAAACTAAAAATAAATAAATTTACATCAGAAACACACAAAATCAAATTTAAAAAGGTCGATGCTGCAAAAAGCCTGAAATTATAATCTTGTAGACACTAAAACAGAACACATTATAAATTCCAAAGAAAAAGGGGAGGATCCAGATTTTAGTGCCATGACTCTGTATAAAGTGGGACAGTTTTAAGTCTTTGTCAACTTCATGCGTGCAACAGTGTAACTGCTGTCGGCGTTACGGTAGACAAGTAAACAACCTACTAACTCCACGCATTAAACATCTTAACAGATGTAAATATTATGGTAAACACATATGAGTTTAATAACTTACCCGCTTCAAGTGATACTGCAGGTAAGAACAGGACCGTTCCGAAGTAATTGACCTTAAGAAAAGGGATAGAATATAGCGAATGCATATCTATTCAGTATGCTGTGAAAATCATTGAGATAAGTAATAATAGAATATTTCCGATATGGTCAGGTGGTATGCTTTTAACGTTTCGTAAGCGTACACGACATAGAAGTAATCCCTTTCTGTCCAAGCAATTCACTAATTTCACTTCGACGATAAGAGAATAATAATTAAACTAATGGAACTAGTCAGCATCGTATGTAGTACAATATTTCAAAACGACAAACAAAGATGCTATATTCACATTTCCTTGTTAAGTCCTTTTATAAGTCAACCAACCGAAAATGTTTTTTTTATTCCAATAACAGCAAAAGCCATTATAGGTGAGAGTTTTTCCTATCAGAAACGTTTCTGGTCTTTCCGTCAAACTGTTTGAGTAATCGGGATGAATCGTAATGTGGTGTATCATCATAAATGTTTAAAAGAGCCTTTCAAATTTTATTCTGTAAGATTTACTAGAAACGCTGTACATAAACTTTTTCATATAAACTACTTTTATTACATTTAATAGGGTCTAGGATCATGAAATGAACACTCAAGTTGAAAATTGTCTGAAGTGTGGACTTGACCAATCACATGTAACGTCATGAAAAGTGACGTCACACGTGAATGACTAAGCACAAACTTAAGTCTAAGATTGTTTCATGATCCTACGGCCAGGAAGTCAAACTTTAAGTATCTTCCCGATCTTGGATTGTTATTAAAGTGGCCTTAATAGACCTGTTATTATTGTATATTTACATTTGCGCTGCAACCCACTATTCCGTCTTTGCGTATTGCAGAGTAATCTTCTCTTGGGAGCAGGAATTGATTGTTAAGTCATTGGTTTGTGTGAGAAAATTACGTCGTTTTCTCAAAGATTGATGACGTTACTCTCCCAAACAAGTGACGTAACAATCAATACCTGCTCCCAAGAGAAGATAACTCTGCAATGCGCAAAGACGGAATATGAACATTACCAGCAGAAATGCATTTCATTTGAGTATGAAAGCAAACACTCTCGTAACGTAACACGTGGTTTACTTATGACGTCATATATCAACCTTGTTCAATGAGCGTCTTGTCGCTTCGCTTCGGATAACATTTCGTTTAAAGGATGACGCATATACAAAACGCAGTATATAAATAAACTGTCTGAGAACAAATAAATGAAATTCAACAATTGTTCTATGGTAAAAATGCAAATACATGGATTGTTAAAATTCACATGCCGGTATGAACGCAACTCGGTTACATCCATATCAAACATGAAGCCCGGCATGTAACCGATTTGCGTTCATAGCGACATGAAAAAAACGCCGTTCAATCCCTATTTATTTCAGATCCTTTAAAGTCGACCCTGTGTAGATATTGATGAATTTGTTATCTTTGATATATAATTGAACTCGAAATGGCACACACACACATATATATTCATTATAATTTCTGACGGAAAACTTACCCCATAAAACATACTCAAAACAGTCGCAAACATTCTGATGCCATGTGACTTGAAACGGAGTTCCAGGTACTGAAGGAAAATACATATCAGGTAACATACACCTGTTAATCACAAGACAAAAGAGTTAAACAATAAAGTGTTCCATTACTAGCACCACTGTTAGATAGTTATAACAATAGTTCTAAAAATGATCAATCAAGCAATAAACTGCATATATGTGGCACACAACTGGTATAACTGCCATGTATGTCGCAGACAAACCTGAATGGTTTAGATGCGACATACGTGGCAATGCAACTAGCCTTCGGTGTGGAAAGGTCAATAACTTAAAGAGTAGCAGAGAAACAGCTGACTTCACCTAATGTTACCCCACATACAAAAATAAAACGTTGCTATAACATCTGATGTATTTGGATTTTTCTATATTTGAGAAAATAGATATGATTTATTCTATTAAATAACCGTCGCTAAAAGAGCCAGTGTGGATAGTTTTTTAAGAGCTATTTTCCGGGCTCGTAATCTCAATATATAGCAGTAGTTTTCCGACTTTGTATTATAAAAATAGCAGTGGTGGTTATGCTCTCATAACTGACACTCCTAAGAATAGTATAAAGAAGGGCATTGTCACACCAAATAAAATGCATAAAAATAATCTCATTAGTAATACAAGTATAAATTACCGGTGATAATTATATATTATTACATTATGTTTTCATGGTTTGTCGTAAGAAAAAATATCTCATCGCTCACACGTGGATAAAATCGAGAGGCCACCGTATGTGAACTTGATTTTTTATGCACGTGTTAGCGATGAGAAAATTGTTCTCATGACAAAACATGAAAATATTGTGTAATCATCTATATACAACTACCCCTTACGAATTTATAAAAACCACTCAAAACCATACTTCTACTTCTAGGCTCAAGGTTCATCGATCGCGAGATACTCGATGCATAACATACGTAAACAAAATGAATAATTTCGCGGAGGAATACCATTGAACTTGAAACTTTGTAGAAAAAAACCCGTTTTAAAACAATTATATCGTCCTTTTTTCTCCATATGCACATTAATGCTTAACTGGTGTTGAAACCTTTCAAATAGTTTTTCGTAACTTTATATAGATTGCTTTTATGCGAATTTACTTAGTTGGATACAATTTCCAGTGCAGTACGTCACCCGGCGCGAAAAGAAGTTATTTATTTAGAGAAAATACGTTCCTAAATGGGAAAAAAACATTCTCAAGTCGTTTTCAACCTATTTTTTAGTATTCCCATAATGATTAACCCACGATAATGCTAACGGTAGTCGCAATGAAGTGATATAAAGGTGATGATGATAAAATTACAACAGCACAGTGACGAAATAATTACCTCAAATGGGATGTTGGTATAAAAATGAACACATAAATGGTAAAACAATTTCACGAAAGGTTGGTGAAGCAATAACCATGACTTGGTGATAACATTAATGTGGTGAAAAGCTATCCAAAGAACTTGTCGTTGTAAAACAGCAGCGTAAATTTTTGATGATTCGCTAATTTTAATTGTACTATTTTGCAATGTTTCGTATTGATGATAAATGAGCTCTCCGTTAAATTAGACTATACACGTGTACAATGGGGTAAGTTTTTTTTATATACTGAATGTAAACATGTAACCAACCATACATAAATTTGTTCGAATTTGAAGTTCAAAGAGAAAGACAACACATATTTTTTATATTGTCATTAACTAATCATCCGAAACATTATGTAATAATATATTGTACCTCGATAATTGCCAATATAGTACAGTTGAATATCGTCCTTTTGTCCAGTCAGTAATTTTTCTATGAATTAAATAAATTTAGAACTTGTTTTAATTGTAAAATGAAAAATAAAAAAAATAAAAGGGCCACAAACTATTTAAAAATAACAATACATACCTCATATATACTGGTGATGTTTAACTTTCTGAGGGCTGGTACGAATACTGTTCGACTTGTCATATCAGCTATAAAGAATCCAACATAAGCCATGCCCCACTGCATACCATATAAGTACACTTCTGCCGGTATACCAAGCATCAGTATGCCCGATTCATAGGAAACCATCAACGAAATAGCAACTGGTAAAAAGGCCATTTTGGAATCCCCCATAATATATTGCGTGGTAGTTTTCATTTGCCCTCCTCGACGAGCTTGAAAGAGTCCCACACCAAGAGATATTGTCACGGTTACCGCCACCACGACGTAATCCTCCCATTTAAGGAAAGTCATGCTTTAATCTATCGAAGAATTCTTCTCTGTTTACAACGTCGTCAAATATTTAAATATCTGAAAGAAAAAATAGTAGAATTAAAACTCTGTACGAAAAATGAGGAGATACTTCATTTATAAAATGTACTCTTGAATGATAAGCAATGCCTGCAGCATATGTGGCATGACGGGGTGTATACTGTTCATTACAAAAGAGACGTTAGACGACAACAATCAAATGTCACTTTGAGTAGAATCTGTATTCGCCACAGCAAACCCAGAGTAGCACTTTGCATCGTGACGACGAATGTGTCGTTTTTCAGCTTAGATTGAAAAAAACACGTTCCTCATTCCGTTATACATTAAACATTAATAGATTTCTGCGCATCAATCAATACAAAAGAAAGAAGATACCTTTATAAGATACCGGTGTTTTTTTTTTTAGTTATATTATATTCTCATAACAAACCTGTTGTATCATAAGCTCTAAGGTGGAACCATCTATATATATTTAGTTTACTTCAGTGTTAACTCCAGTTCACTCCAGTGTTCACTCCAGTGCACTATAGTGTTACCCTCGTTTAAAAGACTGAAGTACATATTTCAATAATTGATGATGATGAAATGGGTTCCTTTGTGATATGAAAATTGAAAAAGAAAGGAAAGAATCATTCAACTGAATATTATATAATATCGAATCAACGATATACATATTTTTTGTGTGTTTTGATTACTTAAAATTTCAACTGCACAAAGAGAATTTGTACACCATTTCTGGTGATTATAGAACATATATAGATAGCTGTACTCTTTCAGAGGGAAAAAGTTTAAAAGTACACTTCGTCATAGTTTAATTCACATCACATTTCATATCAATGTTGTAGTGTCAGGATGGGGGATCAGTATCTGTTATGTGATATGGATAAATGTGGTAAGTTTTCCCATAATATTATACTTTATATGAAAGGTTTCTCTATAACACGAGATCAATAGAGTAATTAGCTCATTTGTTTCATACCAACAAGTTAAGAAAAGATAAAATTCCAGAAAAAAACTTATAATCATGGCATGGCACTTTATAGATAAAAGGTAAATATCAAGCTAAAGATGTGTAATTAATTTAAGTTCGATATTCCCCAGTTGCCTTCTTATAGGAATATTTAGAAAAAATGTATGAGTTAGTCTGGTTTTGTTTTCTTTGTTAAATATATATATACATCAGGTACATGTACATGCTGATGGTTGAGTAAGAAAATAGATCCCAAAACCACCACCCCCTCCCCTGGGTCTACAGTGTTCCCCACACCAACGTAGCAGATATACAGATGGCCTTGTGGTACAGTAATGAATTGCCCCTTGTTAAAATGTTGACAAAGTTCAAGGTTGCAATTGGTAAAGTTATATATACATGTACAAAAATGATATAAGTTGATTAATTTACTAATAAAAGATCAGATAAATTAAGTTTCACAAGGAGCCTCAAGTTTTAATCATACAGTTACAACTTTACTTCATTGGCAGATTTAAAGATGGTTGATAGGGCAGTGTAACCATACCCTTGACACATATTTCCCTTTTCAATATGACATCTACCTGAGAATATATGGGCAATGACCACCCACTGACCATTCACCTGTGGTTACATGGGATCTGATGGGCTGCCCCTAATCTTGAGCACCGTATGTGAAGGCAATTAATCCTGTCAATTAATCCAGCCCATTGTCGGTCAAGAAGATACACAGGTAAATCAGTATATGGTTACAAGTAAGATACTGTGGCTGTCCATTCGGTTTACAAACTGGGTATTACATAAATAGTCAAACCTAATTGATAACACACCCCAGCATCAATTAATGGGTCGCTGAACCATGATAGAGCCTTTTATACCTGTATGCTCAGTGGTCCATACTAGCCTCAGGGCACAGGTGTTACAATTAAAGGTAAATTAGGAAATATAATTTTGAACATTTCAAAATAAATGGGGAAGGATTATGAAAAGGTCAAATCAAAAGAACAGTGTTACTACTTTTTTGAAAACACACTCAAATCTGTTCTTAAAACAATGACATCAAACCGTATACCTTGTGTAATATACACACCCTCAGGGCATTTCAACCCCAGTTTCTCCTGTGCTAGTTACATGGTTCAGACAGGTTAAATTTACCTGTAGAAAAATCAATTTGGATACCTACCTATTTAATTAATTCTTAATAAATGTTTTGTTTCATTTATTAATTTATTCAGCATACAAGAGGGACGAAAATCATAGTATGTATAAACTGATGAAAAGGCCAGACATAATATGATAAAGAAAATTACCTTGTGAACTGTAGTTAACTCCAGTGCGCATTGATGTAAACTCCAGTGCACATCATTGTAAACTCCAGTGCACATCGCTGTGAACTCTATTTCACTTCAGTGTTAACTCCAGCGCACAAGCTATCGAACTGGAGTTCACTTTAAAGATGAATAAAACTTTACCATTCAGACATGGATCGGGGAACTGGACAATGGTCATAAGGTCAGTGAATTGAATCTTTGTCGAATTGGCCGTGAGATGTGTGACAGAGCAGTCTAGTACTTTGAATCGGATGATAAAAGGCAGGACGGCCTTCTCCTTGACAAGAGACTCAGGGTAACAAAATCCTGCAACTGTGTGTGTATATACGATTTTTACATAGCTTATTATATATCACACCTAGATCAACGAAATCCAATTCTGTATAGATGGATATCGTTGCCAAGTTTGTGACGGATCGGCATGACCAACTAAAAAAGGGGGTGTTTCTCTTTAAAGTTTACTCTTTAAATACAGATAGAGTAATTGTATGATAATTTCACAATGCTATCTCTTGACGTATGACAGACAACGTTGTATTACGAAGAGTGTATCTACAGGTACTTGGGGCGGACTCCAACAAGAAAGATGAGAGGGGGGAAGTCTTTTAAAAATTACCTTCAGGTGAATGAACATGAACTTCATTGAGCATAAGGGGTCGGGTCAATGTTATGTAAAACTGATAACTGCTGTACTCATTGGAAACAGACTTACGAGGAGGACTGGAGAATTGAAACATGCCTATTCATATTTCCTCCCCAGGTCTAACATCGAATGTTAGCCAACACATCAGGGTCATTTAGGCCGTTTTAGATTTCCAGATTTTTATTTGTTGCGTTTTGTTAAATATATATGAAACAGTAAATGAGAAAGTTTAAACAAAAAATGGGTTGTGTTGTCTTTAGAAGGAGTTAGGGTTAATTATTTCAAAATCCTATATATTTCAAAATCGGGTCAACATAGACAACTCTTATTCACACATTCGTTAGGAAACATTTATAAGCTAAGATATATCTATATTTGTATGAAATTTAGTTTAATTTAAGGACAAATATAAAACACTTCACACACAATATTGAACAGAAGAAAAAAAATAAAATTATTCTAATGTTTATAAAGTATATCTTTTACTCTTCAACAGAATGGAAGCCAAAGACTATTTATAATGTAAACTTATGTTTCGATTTGGAATAATTTGATTTTATATTTCAGTAAATTTATAGACGTCACCATAGAGAGGAAAGTAGAAATGATATTAATACATAACGCTTCAAAATAAACAACGTGATTGACATGGTCCTAGGGCGGCCTTGAAATTCCCTGAAACCCAATCAAAAACATCATATGACATAAACTCAGATGTGCGATCCCCACCAACACCGTCCTCGATATCCAGGGGTTACGCCCACTTTCGCTCTCTTCACCCCTGGAATATATCATAGCAAAATTGAAGGCACAAAGATAGCTGTTTAATTGGTATCAGGTACAAAAACCTGAGCAATCGCTAGGCTGATACCTGTCCTTTGAAGATTACAAAGGAGAGACGTCCGACTTCAAAGCCTGTCCATTTTTACCGTTACGTGACCGCGATATTCTTTTGATGTACACCAGAGGTTCAAACTAGTTTTCTCGTTTCATCTTCAAGGTGCTGCACACTGAGCCTTCCATTTTGCTATGCCATATTCCAGGGGTGTAGAGAGCGAAAGTGAGCGTTACCCCTGGATATCGAGGATGCACCAGCTGAGCAGTTGGAGTCTAGAAGAGGGATACAAAAATATAAAGGACATATCAACAACCTAAATGCCAACTATATGAATATAATCATTATCATTTAGGAGAATATAAAATGTTCTCAAACATGATGATTTATTTTGGTTAATTGGTTATCTATGTACTGTAAAGCGCTTTAGATTGGCTTATTCTAGCTAGATACGGCGTTGTATATCTATTTATTTATCCCAGTGTCACGATGCTGACACAAAACGAAACTTGTTAGCGGGCACCAATTAAGCCACCCACTGATTACGATTGAGGTTGCTCGTGTCCCAGGGTTACACTGCATTGCTCAAAAAGCCAGCTTAAGCCTCATATGTTTTGGCTGATCAAGAATATGAACTTTATGAATGAGACTGATAATGGGCCAGTCGCCAGGTACTTACTGGCCGTAGGTCGGTGGTTTTCTCCGGAAACTCCGGCTTTCCTCCACAAACAAAACCTGGCACGTCCTTATATAACCATAGCTGTTAAAGGGACGTAAAACACAAACAAACCAAATCAAACAAACCAAACTTTTAACAAATCTCTCAAATCATGGGTAAATTAACACCAGGAGCGTTCGATATTACAGTTGTAAGATGTAAACCAAACACAGTGAGCCTCGATTCAGATATCAAAATTAATGTGTCGGAGTCTACATATTTATGACTCCAGGGTATTGACCGATCGGCCACATTGCAGGTCTGACACCGGAAGACAAAGAATTGGTCAGGTCTTACAACATAAGACTCGGAAGAGAGGTATAATAATGTCTAGAATTACTTAATAATATAAGGTGTGATTGACTCCGACTCCGACTCAGGCGATAGAACAATAGCCCCCGAAGTTGGTCGGAACGATCAGCTGGAATTTCATTCGGACAAGTTTAATATGTAAAATTTATGCTATGAAGTGTTTTATACGCACCTTTTTCTTTTGCTGTATTATTTCAATGTATCCATTTTTGGGGTGTATTTCAAACTTT